TATTACTTACTACAGACAGGTGTGTTGTGTATTACTTACTACAGACAGGTGTGTTGTGTATAACTTACTACAGACAGGTGTGTTGTGTATTACTTACTACAGACAGGTGTGTTGTGTATAACTAACTACAGACATGTGTGTTGTGTATTACTTACTACAGACAAGAGTGTTGTGTATAACTAACTACAGACAAGTGTGTTGTGTATTACTTACTACAGACAAGAGTGTTGTGTATAACTAACTACAGACATGTGTGTTGTGTATTACTTACTACAGACATGTGTGTTGTGTATTACTTACTACAGACATGTGTGTTGTGTATTACTTACTACAGACATGAGTGTTGGGTATTACTTACTACAGACATGTGTGTTGTGTATTACTTACTACAGACACGTGTGTTGTGTATTACTTACTACATGACATTGTGTGTTGTGTATAACTGAACTATAGACATGTGTGTTGTGTATTACTTACTACAGACAGGTGTGTTGTGTATTACTTACTACAGACAGGTGGTGTTGTGTATAACTTACTACAGACATGTGTGTTGTGTATAACTTACTACAGACATGTGTGTTGTGTATTTACTAACTTACTTACTTACTACAGACATGTGTGTTGTGTATAACTAACTACAGACATGTGTGTTGTGTATTACTTACTACAGACATGTGTGTTGTGTATTACTTACTACAGACATGTGTGTTGTGTATAACTTACTACAGACATGTGTGTTGTGTATAACTTACTACAGACATGTGTGTTGTGTATTACTTACTACAGACATGTGTGTTGTGTATTACTTACTACAGACATGTGTGTTGTGTATTACTTACTACAGACATGTGTGTTGTGTATTACTTACTACAGACATGTGTGTTGTGTTTTACTTACTACAGACATGTGTGTTGTGTATTACTTACTACAGACATGTGTGTTGTGTATAACTTACTACAGACATGTGTGTTGTGTATTACTAACTACAGACAGGTGTGTTGTGTATAACTAACTACAGAAATGTGTGTTGTGTATTACTTACTACAGACATGTGTGTTGTGTATTAATTACTACAGACATGTGCGTTGTGTATTACTTACTACAGACATGTGTGTTGTGTATTACTTACTACAGACATGTGTGTTGTGTATTACTTACTACAGACATGTGTGTTGTGTATTACTTACTACAGACATGTGTGTTGTGTATTACTTACTACAGACATGTGTGTTGTGTATTACTTACTACAGACATGTGTGTTGTGTATTACTTACTACAGACATGTGTGTTGTGTATAACTTACTACAGACATGTGTGTTGTGTATTACTTACTACAGACATGTGTGTTGTGTATTACTTACTACAGACATGTGTGTTGTGTATAACTTACTACAGACATGTGTGTTGTGTATTACTAACTACAGACAGGTGTGTTGTGTATAACTAACTACAGACATGTGTGTTGTGTATTACTTACTACAGACATGAGTGTTGGGTATTACTTACTACAGACATGTGTGTTGTGTATTACTTACTACAGACAGGTGTGTTGTGTATAACTAACTACAGACATGTGTGTTGTGTATTACTTACTACAGACATGTGTGTTGTGTATTACTAACTACAGACAGGTGTGTTGTGTATAACTAACTACAGACATGTGTGTTGTGTATTACTTACTACAGACATGTGTGTTGTGTATAACTTACTACAGACATGTGTGTTGTGTATTACTAACTACAGACAGGTGTGTTGTGTATAACTAACTACAGACATGAGTGTTGTGTATTACTAACTACAGACAGGTGTGTTGTGTATAACTTACTACAGACAGGTGTGTTGTGTATAACTTACTACAGACAGGTGTGTTGTGTATAACTTACTACAGACAGGTGTGTTGTGTATAACTTACTACAGACAGGTGTGTTGTGTATAACTTACTACAGACAGGTGTGTTGTGTATAACTAACTACAGACAGGTGTGTTGTGTAAAACTTACTACAGACTAGTGTGTTGTGTATTACTTTCTACAGACAGGTGTGTTGTGTATTACTTACTACAGACAGGTGTGTTGGGTATTACTTACTACAGACAGGTGTGTTGTGTATTACTTACTACAGACAGGTGTGTTGTGTATTACTTACTACAGACAGCTGTGTTGGGTTTTACTTTCTACAGACAGGTGTGTTGTGTATAACTTACTACAGACAGCTGTGTTGGGTATTAATTTCTACAGACAGGTGTGTTGTGTATTACTTAATACAGACAGGTGTGTTGTGTATAACTAACTACAGACAGGTGTGTTGTGTATTACTTTCTACAGACAGGTGTGTTGTGTATTACTTACTACAGACAGGTGTGTTGGGTATTACTTACTACAGACAGGTGTGTTGTGTATTACTTACTACAGACAGGTGTGTTGTGTATTACTTTCTACAGACAGGTGTGTTGTGTATAACTTACTACAGACAGGTGTGTTGTGTATAACTAACTACAGACA